GAGAGGAGCAGGCGGTGGATGCGGGATCCCCGGCCCCCGCGTCGGGGCTCTTTGCGGTTTAAGGCAATGTGTTGGTCCCGCAGCCCCAAACCCTGGAAGCCCGAACGTGAGAGAAACAAAAGGTATTTGCTGACGTGGGCGTTGGACAGAGACGCCCGAGGGCTGGGGACACAATTAAAGGGGCAACGCACCGATTGCAGGCACAGCCCAGCAGCTTCCTCTGCCTGATCGCCCTGCAGTCTGGGCTGCTTCCCTCCTCTCACACCCACATGCTACCCAAGAGGCCCACTACCTTACTTCATACAATGCATTGCTATTGTTAAAGGCTAGTCTAGATAGTGTTGTATCTGGAAGGAAGGCGCCACCTGAATGGGAAATATCTGTAGTACTGTGGAGTAGGATGCATTATGTTGCTCGATTGAGAAGTATTTCTTATAAGCAGGAAAGTTTTGTATGCAAACAATGGAGATAATCCAAAACTGAAGCACTGGAATTGGGAGTGCAGTAGTACAGATAATCCTTTTATTTCCTTTTTTGTGGAATAAAAATTCAGGATGCCTGTAAGAATGTGAGTCAGTTTCAGTCTTGTTCCTGAAGATCAATGAATAATTTCATTTAGAAGGGATCTCTGGAGGTCACCTAGTACAACTGGTTCCTCAGGGCAGGCCAATTAGAACACGGTAAAAGAACAGTTCCCATTTTCAAAGTAAAAGGTATCACGTTGGAGTGCTGTAGAGAACTTCATTAGTGTTACGTTTAGCACAGGAGATAAACCAAGGTAGCAAAATCTTTTTTCCTTCCACTTCTCTCAGCTTTTCCTTAGAGAAGAATTTTTTGTTCTGTGTTCCCGGTATTTTTAATTTCTCGATGCAACAAATAAGACACCTCTTTTCTTAGGATTTAGGAGTTAAATAAGATTATCGGTTAGGCAAACTCAAATGTCGGAGTTTTTTAAAGTTAAATAATACAGAAAATGGTTCTTAAACCAATACCATGGTATTAGTTTAACTACCCATGGCTGCCTTTGAACTAATAGTAACCCCTGATTGGCTTCTAACTTTGCTGAAATATTCTACAGAAAATCAAGAAGGCGGTTCTGGAATGGTTATATTAGAATACTGAAGTACTGTGTTTACAATTCTGTTTTACTTATTCATGTAGAAACAAAGAAAGGACTATGGAATTAACTATTTGGCCTCTTCTGGGTTTATAGTTTATATTTCTCTACCACGCAAACGATTAGAAGTCACCAATGCCAGCCTTGACCAGATCACATAGGTACTGGCCTCAGCAGTCCACTGAAATAGGATCTTAATTATGAATTTTCAGACTTATTAAATAAACCCCAAATGAATGTGCTTATTTTAGTCTGACTGATGCCTCCTGGCTTGAATAAAAACAAGCTTTTTTAGGACAAATTCAATTAAACAAGTTTAGTTTAACTGTAATCCTCATTTAACACCAATCTAGACTCTGCTAAGCCTCAGCAGTTAAGATTTTAGATAGATATTCAATTTACCACTACTGTTGTTATGCTAACAGATGCTAATGACTATCAGAAAGGGATCCTGGGATCCAGACACAGTCATTGACTCAATTAAAGCCAGATGGCAGGTCAGGCATTTTTCAGCTTAAATCAAAGTCCATTTAAATAATAAATGGTGCTGAAGATACAGGGCTATTAGCCAAGACCCCTGTTTAGGCCATCAGAAGTTCAAAGCCAAGTATTTCTAACCTTGTTCTGGCTCAAAGCATAGGATGCCTGATATAAGGACAGACTGTCAGGAAAGAGTTGAGATAGCAGAAATTCAGCATTTGGCGACAGCTACTAACATATTAGACTTGGGTATTACAAACTGTCAGCTTGTTTGTTTCTGTTATATCCTTTAATATAAAATAGTTTATATCTTTATAAATAAAATTGTACAAACAGATGAATGTCTTGCATTGTAGTGAGAATTTATCTGGCTTGTACTATTGATTTCTTATGCTAATAATAGCAGTCCCCTGTGGTCTTAAGTTTACACTATTTTGTTTAAAGAAATAAATTGGTATTTTTCAAAGAATTTGCTCAGTTAATGTAACTCACTTCAAGGTGTACCTAGAACTCATCTCAAGATCTGGTTTGGTAGATTTTTGATATTTATATTCTTTGGTGAAGAAAAAGGATCTTTAATAGGTAGTTTCTGGTAAAAATGTCAACTGAAACATTGGAAAAAGAGTTTGCTTGCCTTTGACTGAATGTTCCTTTTATCTTTAATGCATAGGAGGTTAGTATTAAATGATTTTTTGCCAGCTTACCTTCCAAAGAAAATACAAGTTATTCTGCATAGAACTGTTCAGTGGTTGAAGCTAGGTGATGCACATAATCAGTTCAGCAGCATTTTAAAATACTCCACCAAAAAGTAACAGAAACCTGAACTGAAGGTATTAGAAGTATCTGTCTTTTTTAAGATATTGTGCACAAGCCTTAGATACAGGGTTAAGGGACAACTACGTGTTATAAGATATTTAGGATGAGGATGCAACTCAAATTTTAATAAGTAAATCTAAAATACTTCTGCCGCCATATTCCCAACATCAACATGCAGCATGCTTGTTAATCAAAGCTGTCACATCAGATGTTACAACAGCATGATTCATTTCAGTTTATACTGCAAGGTGTTCTGTCTAAATACTGTTGTTTGATGGTTGCTGCCAGTGCAGATTAAGAGACCAAAATTTAAGAAATTCTGACATTGGCATAGCTAGATAATGGAATACTATAATCTCTGGCAGTGACCAGATGCTTCAGGGAAGAAATGTTGTAATATATTTCCTAATAATTTGATATCCAAGGGAGAAGTTTTTCCTAAATTGTCATTGAAAAATGACAATTTAGAAGGGTCCCAAAATCCTGGAGGATGGGATATTTTTTCTGAAGAGCCAGAAGTAAAGGATGATAGGTGGAGCAGTCAGTGTCAGTATCTACTCAGTTCTTCTACTGCAGGGATCTCTGGGCTCACAGGCATTTTCATAGCTCACACTAAATCACCATTTTTGTGTATGTTTTTTTCACCTCAGTTCTTTGGAAGAGTAGAGTATATTATCAAGTTGGAAAGGGATATTCATTCTGTATATTTTCCCTATTAGTGTGAAAATGACAGCCAAAAGCTAGTCTTCCTGAAATTTTAAGGTAAGGGCAAGCGCTGTCTGTAAGAATAGTACAAAGAGAATTTCAGGCAACTTAATGGAAAACAGAAATAGTGGGGATAGGATGTGTGTGCTGCAGTTGAAAGAGAAAAGCAAATCAAATATCAAGTAGTTCATAGGTTTAGGAGGCAGGAAGAATTCAGTAAGAAACACCTGAAACAGAGGAAGGAGAAATGCTTTAGAATACAGTATTTTAGCGTTTGAGCGGATGGCAAGGTAGTCGCCACAAAACAAGGATAGTTAGAGGTCAGACACTAAACAGGGCATGATGAATCTATGTCTTCATTCTTGACCATGGTTTTCATGAACACACGATTAACACGAGCCAAGCAAACAGAGACAGTCTTCCAATGACAAAGTATTGATGGAGGAGACAAAGGGGCAGACACTAGGATTCCACAGAAAGTAGAGGTTTAAAAGAGGAATGTCACTTGTAGTGGACACACCTCCACGTTAGTCAGTTGAAATGGGGAATGGAAAAGCAAAAGACAAGAGAAAGACATTTTGAATATCAGTGAAAGACATTTCGAATATCAGTGAAGAACCAAAACATGCGTGAACAAGTAGTATTTAAGAGAATCCAAAGCAAACAGTCCTGGAGAAGCAGAAAGAAGTACAAGGCACAATGAAGACACTAGTAAAAAAAAAACAATTTGAGAGGAATCACAGAACTCTTGGTCATAGGGGACTTCTGGAGGTCTCTAATCCTACCTCTCACAGGAAACAAGGCTGGCACTGAGATCACATCAGATCAGCCATGGCTTTGTCTAGTTGAGTCTTGAAAACCTTCAAGGAGAGAGATTTCACAATCTCTCTGGGCAACCTGCTCCAGTGCTACCCAATTTGAACCTCCCAAATTGAGATTTGTACGTACAGAGACAGTACAGAACCTGAATCTGAATGGATCAATGTTAGCAGAAGTCAATAGTCCTAAATAGCCTTCTCTAGGATTTAAAGATAAAATCAGGTACCTTACTTGTAACCTGACAAATTTCTAAAACACATTACAATCAGCTTTTATCAAGTAAATTAAATTCTGTGGGAACAATCCTATGAAATGAACAACTGTCAAAGCTGTTTCTCTTAAAGTTTCCTACAAGATCTTTAGTTTCCTCCTTGAAAAGGAGGAAAACGTTAACTTCTGCTAATGCGTGGTATGCGATATGAACAGGAATATGAAGAAGAGAGTGACGAGAGGCTTGGAAATGCAAGGAGGGAAAAAAAAACCCAAAAGAACAAAAGAGAATTACTTTCTTTTAGAGAAAAACAAGCAAAATATATGATTGGGTATGTAAAATGAAGGACAGTGTAGAAAATATAAGGCACTTACATTTATCATGTCTCGCAATACAAAAATAAGGGAACAACAACTGAAATAAGGCAACAAATATAAAAACGATACCTTTTTAAATACAAAACTTAATTGACCTACGGGAATCGCAGTCTTGAGCTAGAACTCCAAGCTTAGTAAGATACTTTAAAAATGACTACAAATATTTATTTATGCTACTGAAAAGAGTAATGTAAAAAAGCAATAAAAACCCTTGTTTGCCAGGGCATAAATCAACCATTAATCTGCCTATACTTAAAAAGTAAATGTCTTCATATGGATAGACTGTTCCTTGTATAATTGCCTATTACAGCTATTTCACATCTTTTTCTGAAGCATCTGGTCCTCACTATTCTCAGATTTAGGGTATCTAATCAGATTGAGCATTGATGCAGAAATCTCTTTGCTTCTGAACCCACCCACTCCCAACATATATAACCCTTTAATAGTCTCACCTTTATAGTTGGCAGTTAGGATTTCAATCTCTGAGTGAAACTGTCTTTTCCCAGCCCCTAAATCCATCCCCAAATACACACACACACACACACACACACACATACACACACTAATCCCAGTTTTTTCGTATTCTGGGACAGTAGGCACAGATACCTACAATTTATTGTGCATACTGTTTAAATGGCAAGGGAGAAATCTATTATATTCTATTTCTGCAAGCATTTTCTCTTGGAATTTGCAATTAATTTAAGCCATTCCATATTCCTTTATATATTTCTTTGTTCTATATTTGATTTAGATAAGGGTGTTCATGGAATATTTTTAACCATTTTGTATTATGAATTTTTGGAGCAATAAACTCCAAGAAATTACTAGCTATTTTCACATCAAGTCCATTTTGTGGACTGCTGAACAAAGTGTAACAAAAAATGTTTACATATGGGTCGTTAGAAAGCTTGATAAATCCCCCCTCCTTCCACCTGCCCCCCAAGTCCAAGGCCAATGGATGATAATTTCTGTAGGAGCAATAAACAACACTCCCCAACTGGATACAAGGAAAGAGAATAGAGTCTCCTCAGAACATATGAGCAGGCTACTTCTTGACAGTCTTGCAAGGGTTTTTTTTTTTTTTTATGGGGAGGGGGAAGCACTTAATGCTTACACTGTGAACTTGGTAAGGAAGCGCTTGAGCTCTCATTTAAGAGACTCGTAGGCTAGCCATCTGCAGCCTGGTAAGAAAAAGCTGTACTCTCTGGTAATGATGATACTAATAAGGCTATACAGTTTTTACAGAAATAAAAATAAAATAGTGACTTTGCAGCCGCTCCTGGGAAAGAGATTATATAGTATATATATATGGAATGGTTCTGTAATTAATCCCAGGTTTCAGGCAAACATGCTTACGCAGTAGTAAAAAAAAAAAAAGTTTTCTAAGCCTTTACCCATTGACTTTAGTGATCAGAGGATGAAGCCTTTAGTAATACTCATTTCTGTCCAAGAAAATACAGAGTAAAAGCACCCCAGCAGCATACTTCTGGTCTTTTTGTGTTTACAGTGCTGGTTAAGGTAAACTCGCTAAGTTAGAAAACCAAGTGACTCATTTTGTTTTAAAAGTAAACTTTCTTCGCCATTAGTCATCTCTTGTAGTCTAATTGTAGGTAAAGTAATGCAAATACAATGTCTAGGGCTTTCAGTACGTATTGTTCACTGGTGTGTAGTACAAACTGAAAAAGGTTAAAAATTTCTTGGTGACTGAATGACTCTGCGAATATATAAATTGATAATGACTGCATCTTAAAACTCATCATTTTAAATTGAGTACAGGTCAATACAAACAAGAATAAGCCAATGGCTTCAGATGCAAATCTCTTCAGTTCCATTTCTAATGATATAGTATATATAGTGTACAAGTTAGCTGGCTCTGCCACCACTACTGGCAATTAGAATAGGGGACAAGGAAAGAATACAAAGGCCAAAGCAACCTTGTAAAGATTGTTTCCTTCACGTTGGCATTGAAAAGCTGGCACTGCCACAGGTAATGCTGTGGATGCAGGGCTACCAGTCACATCACATCAGCACTTCTGAGGTTTGTTTTGTTTTGTTTTTTTTTTTAAGTATTTTTACCATGGTTACTAAAACACACCCCAACTTGAGTTCCCAGTTTTCAGAGTGAATAAAACATCTACTGGTATGAACTAATGATCCATATTAGCAATCACTTTATCTCTGATGCGTTGACTAGGAGTAGTATGCATGTGTTTTATTTTCTTGTAAAGAAATATTTCTTAAATGAATGATCTGCTAAAGATTCTCCTTATTAGAATAATTTTTTAAAAGAAAGTGCTTTTCCAGATGTATATGCCAAAACATTTTTATGTGTTCTTTCTTAATTCTCTGCCTGGCTTTTCAAATCATAATATGAAGAGTTCATGAAATTTCATGGAAGATTATCTTCACTTCTGAGTGCTGAAAAGAGATTTTCTCTATATTCTACAGTGGTGGTGGTGGTGGTATTTATACTTTCTTAATCACCAGGTGATACTGCATATAAAACCCACATCTCTAGAAGTTTAAGAAGTGGGTAATTTACAATGCTTTGTGACTTTTTTTAAAGTATTTAGACTCTACCCCTTTGAAAGAGGTTTTTAGAAGGGACCCATTGTCGACTATAAAAAGTTATCCGTGTAGTACTTCAGTTTCCTTGTTCGTCCATTATTCCATTTAGGGATGGATTATTCCTAATGGCGCAAAATACGAGTATTTTGATAACAAAATTCAAAATGGCACCAATGGCATGTCCATAAATGCATGCAAGTTTGGACCTGTTCAAGAGAAACCAATATGTCTTTGTATGATAAGAACAGGCTGGCGGAGGGCTTATGGTCAAGACACAGGAATTCAATGTAAAAGGGATAATTTACTAATTCTTATCTCACAACTACCTAATATTTGGTTTTACTTCCTTTTCATCTGCTTCATCCTCACTGTCGTCAACCTGCTGAATGACCAAGTCGGTTGACCCATCCTCCACAATCTCCACATCAGATCTGTTGTCTTCCCCATAGTGCCACCTGGAATCCTTATCCCCTTCTTGTGGAAATTCAAGGGGTGCTTCAGCCTCCAAGTCAATGCGAATACTGTCTATGCCAGCTTCAGCCAAACACTCATTACAGAGTCTGTAACGTCTTGTCCCCTCTTGGACCACTTGTCCTGTTAGCTCAGTCACGTGGCGTTTACACTTTCTGCAGATAGGCTTACAAGCCTGATGAATCTGGGAAAATTGAAATGAATAAATTTGATATTTTATCCACAGGGAAAAAGTGTTTTTTAAGATAACAAAAAGTGAGGCTAGAGTTGTGTCAAATGGTAGTGTTACCTCATTTTGACAGACGATCATCCAAATGTTAAAAACGCAGCAAACACAGGCTCTATAATTGTCAACTTAGGCTCTATTACAGGACTCAGAGCGCAGTACCTTTCTGAGCCATCAATTAACAAAGAATTTTCATATGAATTATGCTTCACATCATTGGTTTAAACAAAACTGGATTAATTTTGTATTACCTCTTAAGGTAGCCAGTATATCAACCAGATCTAGAATAACTGTAAACGTATCAGGAGAAAATGCCTGGAAAGTAGCTGTTGTTGGCTGACTAGTCTCCTTTAATTGTACTAACACAGTTAGATTTACATATTAAACAAATCATGCAGTTACTAAAAATACATACTGTTCGAAAATGGCTACTTAGGTGATCTAGCCTGCTAAATCTTTTTCCACATGCCTCACAAGGGTAAGGGCGCTCTCCTGTATGACAGCGAAGGTGACGCTTTAAGTCTGCTTTTCTTTTCACCACATGTGTACAGAATGGGCACTTGAACCTCATCCTGGGCAGATCATCTGTGAGAAAATAATTTAAGACAAACTTTAAAAGTCATAACAAGTCTAGTCATGTAATATTCTAGGAAAAGGTTATTCTAGTTATGAAAAGCAACACGAGCAAAATGGCAAGCCATTTTTATTTTTAAAAAATATTATTATAGGTCTTTTCAAATACAAAGATCTTGTATTTTCCTGTTAATTACACAGGAGCGCAATAAAAAAAATGGAGCGGTCCATTAGCTATTTTAAAATGGATTTTAAAAATCCAAAAAAACTAATGACTTATATTTGCAGGATCAAGCTGTGGAGACGCTAAAGGTTATGCATTCTGAAAGGCTAGTTTTAATAAACTAATACAGCTATCAAGACAAATTTAAGACAGACATTTCTGTCATTCATAATTATTAAAAAATAAGAGTTAAACTTTCCAAAGTTACATTTCTGGGCAATACAGACCAACTTTTGTCAATATACACTTTCTTAGCAATGTATATTTTCTTACTGACAGAACAGACGATTAACAGATGATTATGTACTTATACTTAGAGCATTAAAACCAACTCTTACCTTCAGCCCAGCTTCCCATGACACCTAGAATCGAGGGCATGCTCGTATACTGCTCGTCTGCTTTTGAAGACTTGGATTTGCCAGAAGAACGAGGTGATTCATGCTCTTGCTGTGATACAGCTAAACTCCTTGGTATCACATCAGACCCTTGACCGTACTGGTATCCCACGTGAGGAGATTCAACTTCTGTTTCAATCTGAACTTGCTCCTCAGATTGAGTAACGTGGCCAGCAGGCTCAGAAGCCCTGTCCTCAAGTTTGCTTGATTTATAGTGAGGAATGTCAGAAGATTGCTGCAGTCCTAGGTGCCTGGTTTTTTTAATGGAATCCTGCCTTTGGTCATGCTTGGACAGCTGTTGCTGTGCATTTCTTTGAGAAGTTGGATAGTAGTTGAAATTGCTCCAAGCACTTCCACCCATCATACATGTCCCTTGATCCGGATTTAAGTGAGAATGTGGGGGGCTGCTTTCTGCCCTCCAGCCAGCACCATATAAGCAGGAGCGGTCCACGCCATTTGAATTTACATCTTTGTCCGAAAGACTGAAGTAGCGGTCCTTTTCCTTCTCACTGATGTCCAGAGATGACTTAATGAATGTCTTACACACGCTGATAACATCGGTCATCTGAAGATAGCTAGCCGCTGACATGACTTCAATGACGTTCTGACCAGTAAGGGACAGTTTGCCTGAATACACAAAATCTAGAATAACTGTAAACGTATCAGGAGAAAATGCCTGGAAAGTAGCTGTTGTTGGCTGACTAGTCTCCTTTGAACTCTGTGAAAGGAGCATTTTGAAATAGCCACTGCTGGCAAACAGCACATTTCGATGTGCTTTGAAGACCTTTCCCTCAACCAAGATATTGCAGTCACAGAATAAGTCCTGCCTGCGCTGCTCATTTAGTTGTTGCAGGAGGTGAAACTGGTGGGAAGAAATCTCCATTCCAGAAAAGGTGAAATGAAGTGTTGCTCTAAAATAAAAACATAATTAAAGTCTTGAGTTCAGCATCCTACAACTCAGCCAAAGATACTGCACCAGTTTTACAGATATCTTTTAAAATAATCCTTCTTAAAATATATGTTTTTAAATAACAATATGCATAACCATACATTCTATTTTGAAAAGAAAAGACTGCAAAAATAGAAAAAGCCACATAAACCCATACACGTTATTTGGCAGAGATGCGTGTGCTACAGCTAGGAGCATCTACTTCCTAAGGATGTGTGCAACTCGCTGGAAGCTGTACAACCTTCAGACAGTCAGCAACAAGACGACGAGCCCTTCAGCAGTTGCGAGTGTCTCGGTTGAAGAGTGTGTCCATGCCTTGAGTTGACGTTATCACATCGCCCTGGTCCGGCTGGGCTCATATCCTCGCCTCCGAAGGGACCAGAAATGGGTAGTCAGCGGCGGAGCCCTCAGCAGCCGCAGCCCTCCCGGCCCGGGCTCCCCCAGCATTGGTAGCGGTCGCCGTCACTCACCCGCCCGCCCGGCCGAATTGGTCGCTCGACCCTCGGGAGC